CTTCGCTGAAAAAATAAGTTGAATCACTGTTTTAGCTGATTTGTCATAAGAAAAACATTGTTCACTAAAAAAACAAGCTGAAAAGTATGGATTATAAGACAAGAAAAGAGGGCCTTCATTTGTTCTGCACTCTCTCTCTCTGGTATCTTTCACGGGAAGATTAGGTGGGAAAGACCACGGGAGTAGAAAACAAAAGACCGAGAAGTTAGTCATATACAAATAATGCCACAAGAAGTACTATAATAATATCAGTACCATAACTATAATAATCAAGCGTGATGGGCCCACTAGAGGTCTTTTTGAGCCCAGGCGTGCGAGAAGCCTCAGCCATCACAACGTGCAGCCTGAGCCTGTGGTGCCTGCTACTGAACCCTTCGACGTCATTTCACCCACGACAGGTTAGGTAAGTGGGGCGCCTCACGAAGGCTCAGAGCCAGTCACCCTTCGAGGGATAGACCAGGCTCCTGTTCGCGCTTGACTGGTTTGAGCTCAATGAGAATGACTAGAAGTCGTTACTTCGCTCCTGAGCTCAATGGCTTGGGAGGCTGCAAGGGGTTCAGGGCTCTTGTCGAGTACCTAACAGGGGGGTTACCTAAACCCTAGGATTAGCACAATGATAGTATTGATTAACTCCTGACTAATTCCCCTAATCAACCAGGGGCTCTGGTTGCTACACCCAAATCCTATACGCGCACACACACTCTGGGCCATGTTTAGTTCACCCGAATCGCCGCCTTGAAAACACTGTCCAGCCGCACTTTTTTCGTTTGTATTTGGTAATAATTGTCCACTCGTTGACTAATTAGGCTCAAAATATTCGTCTCTTAAAGTACAACCAAACTGTGCAATTAGTTTTTATTTCGTCAACATTTAGTACTCCATATATGTACCGTAAGCTTAATGTGACGGAAAATCTTCTTTTTACATAGTGCCAAAGTTTAGATTTTGGGTGAACTAACCCTGGCCCTGGTCCACTGCGACAAGCCAGATGAGCCTTAGATGGCCCGTTTTGAAGAAAGACCGCAGCATCTAGGAGATAGGGTAGGAGGGCAAGCCCGCGCCCAAGTCACCCGCATCCGGGGGGCTTCGCTTAGCCCTCTCAGGCCGGTTTCGGGCAGGTGAACCATACCAAATCGACAACTTTGGAGTGTGTCAAACATGGTGATAAGAAGTTTGGTATGATTAACATTGTTACGGCTGCCCTGATTTTTGTTGTTCTTGTGGCATTATTTGTATATGACTAACTTCTCGGTCTTTTGTTTTCTATTATATACCCCCGTGGTATTTCTCATCGTCTAATCTTGATGTGACATGTGCAGGAATTCAATAATCCCAACCATTCCTCGTGACCCCACACAGCACCCACTACACATAATAAATAAATCAAATACTTGTTGTGAATTCAGCTACCTAATACAAGAGCTCAGTATCTATGGAGAGGAGCGGCGAAGGAGGATGGACATCCCCGGCAGTTCGTTCTAGAGCTGAGACGTCACAATATCCAATAGTGGGTGATTCGATCATGGCTTTCTCGGATGCAGTGCAGTGGTGGGAGGAGTGGCAGTTGCGCATCCTTGTCCTATGCAGCATCTTCCTTCAATACTTCCTCTTCATCGCCGCATCCTTGCGTAAGCGTTGTCTCCCTCCTTGGTTCAAATTCTTAACCTGGCTCGCCTACCTAGCGAGCGATGCCGTAGCTATATACGCACTTGCCACCCTATTCAATCGTCACAAAAGGCAAGAATGGCTATCCACGCACCGCAGTAGCGCTAGCTTGGAGGTGTTGTGGGCACCTATACTTTTGCTGCACCTTGGTGGGCAAGATGGCATAACGGCCTATAACATCGAGGACAATGAGCTGTGGAGCCGTCATTTTGTAACTGCCGTGTCTCAGGTTGGTGAAACAACATCAAATATATATCTTTGTATTAAATTTCAAATTCGATGTTTCAGTATTTTGTTTTGTGTTAAACAAAGGATGATCTGCGCAATTGCATGCCTAGTACCAACAATTTCATCATAAATTTCATACTCTTGGTACACCTATGCATGTTATTACTGTTGCATCATCCTAACTTTATCATAAATTGAGCAAAGAAAATGTTGACGTCTCTCTTATTAACCAAATAGTAATATAACTAGGCATGAACCCATGCTTCAGTACGATCTAGAATATGAGATTACAAAAGTACGTTACAGATTGAAAGTTTCCATAAATTTATCATATGCAAAATTCATAGATACTCTCTAATCCCTATTTGGCTATCAGTAAACTACAAAAGTATATACTATTTATCTCTAGTGTATTCATGTTTACTTGTTATATGCGCAATTTAGACATTGATTTGAGGGATATTTTAGTTTATGTTTTACAACAAAATACGTGGGTAATTCAGATGCAAATTAACGGGGTTGCTTTATATTATCTTTTATAATATCAAATATGGGTAATTCAAATGGAAATATACGGGTTACTATAAAATTATCATCATTAATGATAAAGTTGGTAGTTTAGATACAAATATAGAGGGCTATTAATGTTTTTTCAATGGCAAAAGTGGGTAATTTTTTAGGAAACATAATAGATCCAATGGTTGCCAATCTCTATGAGCCAAACGAATTGAGGGCCAAACGTTTCTAATTGTTATGATAATTTCTTGCATTTATCTTTTTTCTCAACCCATCTTGCAAGTAATAATTCGGAGGCTCTGCCGGGGACCACCCATTAGTAATATTAAGATATATATGTGTTATTAACCATTGCCTTGCAACTGAGTTGGTCTTTAATATGTATTTAGTTAACACCTAAGCTTAAGTATGTCAACTCTTTGTTGGATATTTTTTATAACATCATGAATATATATTTTTGTTTTTCACTTTTGATCTTATTAGTTGTTACAATTTTTTATGTACATGCTAAGTCGAAACTCTTAACACTTATTGTGTATTTTATTGAAAAATCCTTTTCTATTTTATTAAAAAGTGGATTCTAGATCCTAGACTACACTCTTAGTTACACTCTTAGCCATTTCAACATGAACCTAGGCAGTCAAGATGTTGACTTTATTTACTATAATAAAGAATTTTATGTGTATTAGTATCGTTTCAAAAGAATATATAGAGTTTTAGGAAGTAAAATACTAGTATTGATATGTCATAATGTTTCAATCAAAATTCATATACTTATCTGAAGTAACAACTTATAAAATTTATTGTTATGGAGTATATTACTATAATTTAACTTGTAAGTGACATTGGTATGTGGTTTGTCGACGAGACATTTTTTTTAAATAAGCATGTATCCTGCTGTATGCATATTTACTTGGTATACATGATGGTAGCATTTTCTTTATGGTACTTGAGTTATTTTCTATAGTGGCTTATATTGCTATTTAGACATAGATTTGTGGGATTTTGTTAGAAGAACAAAGATTGCTAATTTAGATACAAAAATTAAAGAGTTATTTTATATTATTTTTCATAAATTACAGATGTGACTAATTGAAAAGAAAATTTAAGGAGTTACTTTGCTTTATCTTTCACAATGGTAGAGTGAATTAGATGCGAGTTTAGGGGTTACTTTAAATTATCGTTTATAATAGTAGAGGTTGGTAATTTAGATGCAAATCAAGGGGTTAATTTATGTATTTCTTTTTATAATGGCAGAGATAGGTAGTTTAGATGCAAATCTAAGGTGTTACTTTATGTATTTTCATTGTGATAGAAGTGGGTAATATTTAAAAAATGGGATAGATCCCATGAATATTATTAACAATATAATTAGATCCTACCAGATTAAAGGTCATATGTTTTTAATTTTTTTGATAAATTTAAAATTTACCTTTTTTTTCTAATGTGTCTTATGAAGATTAATGTGGAGTATCCAATTATTAATATTAAGATTGATTGACTTGGCAATTTTTAGACATTGAGAGCAAACGTAGAGGCTTATTTTTCTTGTCCATGTAGTAAGACAAGACAATGAACTTTGGTAAGGCTAGTTCCCACCTCCACGTCAGCTATGAAATAACACAAGACTCAAATAAGAAACTTATACCCATTTTGTGATTTGAAATACAAATAAAATAACTGATTAATTAAAGACCTCATGTATCACAGCTCGTGGCCACAAAATTAAGGAGGTAATAACGAATTCTTGTGTTTGAGTTGTCGTATATAAGTCAAGCTATCCTAATTTGGCCATTTTTTTAAAAAAAACAATGATATTGATGATATCAAATGGGCATCATTGGATGTACTATAAATATTTATATTTTTATAGTTTACTTTTAAACGTAGTAGATGTTACTACTGTCTCTATAAACTTGATTAAATTTAAGATATATAGTTTAACTTAGGACAAACTCAAAGGTCCTTATATTAATTTATTTAAGATATATATATAGAGAGCGTGCTCACTTTTCTTTCACCGTAGCCATCTACGTGTTCCGCAAGTCATGGTCAGGGGAGAAGAGATTATTTCAGGCCGCAATCTTGATCTTTGTTCCCGGTATTCTCAAATGCTTGGAGAAGCCATTCGCTCTCAAGAGCGCTAGCATCCACAGCATTGGGGACACCTCCAACAAGACATTATTGGAGAGGATGTTCGAAGACGAGAGTAAGGACAACGACGACATCAAATCGCTGGACGACTATGTGGAAGCTGCATCTACGTACGTTCAGGGGGACCATGCAGGCGAAACAGCTGAACAGCCTGTTTGCTTGTTGGTTTCAGCCAGGGCTTATCAGCCAGGCAACAGTGTTTTCCTCTCACAACAAACCAACACCAGCCGGATAAATCAGCTCAGAAACCAACTAATGAAAAGGCCGGAAACGAGAGTGAATGACAAGCCCTACAACCTATTCGTAGACCTTGCCTTCCCTTACTCTGATCGGCTTAAGAATCTAAAGTACATGATGCAAAAAAAAAAAACGAAGCGCATGGTCGGCTGCGGTCCCGCCTCTCCAACACCTTCGATCGCCTCTACACCAAGCACGAAATGACGAGGGGCGGTGGTTGGAACATCTGTGACTTTACCTGCAAAAGTTATTGGGGTAATCAGCTACGGGGCGTGGTTGTGTATCTGACGTTTGCGGCCATTGCGCTCTTCCACAAGAGCCATAGAGAAAACTACGACGACACCGACGTCAAGATCACCTACACTTTGCTGTGCTGCACCGCCGCTCTGGAGTTCATTATACCCGGCATCAAGCCGTACGTTAATGTCATCCAGACAATCAACAGGACTTGGCCTGACCTTTTTGCCCAGTACAACCTCCTATGGCACTTGGCCCGCAACAGGAAGCACAGGAAGCTCAGGAGCCTCCAGCTGATCTGCAGGGACTACATCGACGAAATCTGGTGCATGAAGCCGTGCCAGTCTTCCAGCGACATCACCGAGCTCGTCTTTGACCATGTAGTCGTCCATGGGTGGACGGAGAGCATCAAGGACGCGGCCACCTTCCACGAGTTCAACAACAACCGGGGCCAGCTGACTCTCCAGCGCAAGGGCTGCACTGGGGGCATGCCGCTGGAGAGCCTGCGGAGGCCATTTGACGAGTCCGTCGTCCTCTGGCACCTCGCCACGGATTTCTGCTTCTTCCGCCCCATGGATGACGCCGCCGCAGGCAAGTCAGCCACCCCTAACAGCCATGGACATGATGAAGGAGACGCCGCCCGCCGCCGCAGCAGAGAGATCTCCAACTACATGGCCTACTTATTGTCCACCAACCCGGAGATGCTAATGCCCGGCTCCAGGCGGAGCCTGTTCAAGGAAGCCTACGACAAGCTCGATGAAATGGCCGGGGACAAGGACGACAGCACCTCATCACCAATTCCAAATGGGACGGTACCCACACAAAAGAAGACGAAGAAGCCGTCAATGCTGGACGAGCAACAGATGATTGCCTCTCAGATCATGCAGAAGCTGCAGAGCGCCAAGGAGGGTTCAGAAAGTTTGGTTCTTGACGCCTGGGTCCTCGCCCAAGAGCTCATGGATATAGCAGGCAAGGACGACGACGGGGTGGAAGGGGAGGCGAAGATGTGGAGGGTGATCCAGGGCGTGTGGGTGGAGATGCTCTGCTTCTCTGCCGGCAGGTGCCGAGGTTTTCTGCATGCCAAGAGCCTTGGCAAGGGTGGGGAGTACCTCTCCTACGTCTGGATGCTCATGTCCTTCCTTGGCATGGAGACACTGGCGGAGAGGCTGCAGAGGACGGAGCTGCACGTGCAGGGAGACATGGGCGCCACCCGCCTGATGACGCCGGCTGCATCTGAGATGCCAACGCCAACCGGCAGCAACAATGTTTGACTGGCAAAACGGTGCGCACGAAGAAGCATCGGAGACCCTCCGTATATATTATCTGCCATCCTGGTTTCCTTTAATTTTCTGCATGGACGTACGTCATTTATTTCTTCTGTCTGTCTCTTCCAAGTTCCAATCACATGTATAATGTATGTGTTGTTGTCTTGATCGCTGGTATCGCAGCTACGGCTGCTACTTCCTTTTGTGTTCTGCCTGCTGGTGGCTCATCTGCTACCGCAACTGTTGTTCCTCTTGTGAAGGCGATCAACAAAGGTTATACTTTGAAAAAAAATCGAATCATTGCCTCATAAATAGAGGTTGCTGGTTAGTCTCTCCCTACATGTGGCTAGGCCCTATGCTTTGAAAAAAAATGGAACCATTGCCTCGTAAATAGAGGTTGCTGGTTAGTCTCTCCCTACATGTGGCCAGGCCCTTAGCGTGCGGTGGACGCCACGAGGACAACACGATGGCAACTACACCTCTGACGATCAACTCTAGGCTCCAGCAAAGGATGTTAGGGATGGTTTAGAACTTTCGGCTACGATCAGCGACGAGGTATGACACCCAGCGCGACCACCAGTCAAAGACTAGGATCGAAACCCTAGAACCCCCCCCTCCCACCCCAGCCATGCTTCTTGGTAAAACCATTGCCCTCCGGTATATAAGGTGGGGCATGGGCTCCTATCAAAGGGATCGACCTATGAAGCTATCGAATGATCGGATCCCAAATCGAGCGATCAAACCCAAGATCATTAGCATAGGGCTCCCCTACTCTCTCTCTCTCTCTCTCTCTCTCTCTCTCCCCCACTTCTCTCTTGTGTGTGTGTGTTGTAAGAACTTGATTGAGCATTCTAACACGAAGACGCGACCATTGTTGGACGTAGGGCTTAGACGCTCGAACCAAGATAAACCCTTTGTGTCTTGAATGCTAAGCCACCGAAGTCCCTAGTATCAACCCACGATCGAATCACTAATCACTATTGCAGAATCGAACCCACGACAATATCCTCAGATTTAGGACGCCCTGTCCCATAAAATCGAGGGGATGGGTTGTCCCCTTCGCACATCGTTGTCGGTCCAACTGGCACAGTCATAGAGACAAGATTGGGGTTGACACAGGTGTGTGAGCCCTTGTGGTGCGCGAGCAGACCCGAAGTCGAGGGCAAGGCGAAGGGAAGCGGTGAACGTCTCGGTGCTCCCTTGGCTGCAAGGCAGGACTATGGCTAGCGTCGGAGTCTTAAACGACCCCCAAGCTTGAAGATTCAAAGATGGCAGCCAAGCTTCGAGATGTGGGGCAGTTGAGGGTGGGAACAGATGTGGCGGCTGGGAACAACGTCGGATGTGTTGGGTTGTGTTGGTGAGGGTGGTGGTGGGTATAGCGTCGGGAGAGGGGGTTGATTGCTATAGGCGGGGATGACCGGAGTGCCAGGCAAAATCGGGTAGTAGACGAGGCAGAGGAACAGTCAGGGAAAGGTGGAAGATAATCATAGAGAATGATTGGTGGGCCCCATAGATGGCATGCATGGCCCAAGTGTGCGCCAACGGCATAAAAAACAACACCCCCTGCCTATTATTTTCTCTCTCCAACTAAAAAAAAAAAGTAGGATCGACTCCATATCTCAAACTAAACAGCAAAATGGGACCAACCCAAGCCCAAGATCAGGGAAATAACCATTAGATCACCTGAAGTCCCCGAACTAGTAGTGCCATGTACAGAAATCCAGACCGCACCCACACGAAACCATTCCATCAACGACCAGAGAGCCAACCCAATGCATCCCGCTGGTCCACCTCAATAAACCAAACTGATCCAGCCTGTCAGTCTCTTGGGCCCGAACAAAGCGAGTGGGTCTGTACTGTTAGTGAGTGGGTCTGTGCTTTGTACGTTTTCTAGGTAGCAATTTAAACATAGAAAGTCAGTGCTAGAGGTCTAGCTCTACTGCTCAAACCAATAAATCTAAAAAACAATTCTAAAAGAGCAAATGAATGAGCTTTTTTCCACAATGTCACAATTCTAAAAAACAAATTTTGTTATCATGAATAAATCAAGTTGCCTAGAACAGTATGAACCCTTTGCCACATCCTAATAAAATCAAAGAACTTGCACTATTGAAGTTGTACCATCGTTAATTACCACAAAATGCACCCTCTGCCTATACTAGAGACAGATATACTAATAATTTATTTCAGATGCCAGAAAACAATAAAAACACAAATCCAACAACTTCCATCAAGTTGGAAGCAATTTCAGCATCCAACCCCAACTCATTCCTACAGTCCTACTCCTTACCTGCCAGCTTCACAATACAACACATTGACTAGTATCCAGTAATAGTAAATATATAGCAGAGAAGATCCCTGAGGTATTATAGCCATAACAACTATGAGTGTGTCATTGAGATCCAAGCCCACAGCTTAGAGACAGTTTCTGACAGCCAGAAATCCATGCACAACAGAAAGCAGTAGAATTGTACCAATCATGGGCGATCAACATACCTGCTAGGCTGCTACTGCTCGTGCTAGCCCTCTTCAGGTTCTAGATGTTAGCCTAAAAAATAAAAGTTTGTTCAGTTTACTAGAACAGAACATATGTTTAAGGTGGCACAATGACAGCTAATCAAAGCTAACAATAATAGCAGCACAATATAGAATATACAGTAATGAAAGCTAACAATAATAACAGCAAAGAGTATACATTTTTTAATGTAGACTTGGGTAGAGGCAATAAAAGGAGACTTGAAAGGATGGAATATACCCAAAGACTTAGCCTTAGATAGGAGTGCCTGGAAAACAGCTATTCACGTGCCTGAACCTTGATGGCTTCTGCTGTGTTTCAACTCTAGCCTACCCCAACTTGTTTGGGACTTAAATGCTTTGTTGTTGTTGTTGTTGATAGACCTTGAAAACATACCTGCTACTGCTAGAGCCCTCTTCAAGTTCGAGACCTGCATGTTCCAGATCTTGATCTGAAAAATGAAATTTTGATTAGTTACCAGGAAAGAAAACTATACAACAAGATGTCCCATAGAAAAGGCTTTGTACCTTCAGCAGTCTTGAATAGCCAATCTTTAGCACATACAAGTGCCTCGAGCATTTCCGGCATTAGTGAGCTTCTACGTTCTCCAAGAATTCTTTCTCCTAAACTAAAAGCAGATTCCGATGAAACTGTGCTAAGGGGAATAGCAAGGAAGTCTGGAACCATAGTTGACAATACAGGAAACTTGTCTGATCTGCTCTTCCACCATGTTAGGATATCAAAATCATCATTATCCCCCTCAAGTGGTTCTTCTAAATATGTATCGATTTCAGATTTTCGTGCCTGTGCAACTCGTAGTCGTGTTGTGTATTGAGCAAATTCCACTTCTAGCTTTCTTTTTCCAAGAACGGGTGACCCAACAGTAGTAGAGGCTTGATTAGCACGTGTCATCATGTCCACACTACTTCTTGCACATCGCTGCTCATACAATGTGAAGTACTTTCTCATCCATTCCAAGGCATACCTCACATAATTATTAGTCTTACTTGGATCACTGAACACCTTCTCAATGAAGAACTTCAAGTAGTCAGCCTTCCTTCTTGGATCCAAGGCAGTGGCAATGACTAAGACAACACTAAATGCAATTTCTTTCTTCTTTCTCTTGCGGTTAGCTACATTATGAAGATCATCTTCAGTAGGATTCCAATATTTCTCAAACTTGGAGTGCATGGAAACAGCCAACTCCTTGAGCAGATCGGTACTTTGCCAGGCCAGGTCCTTCAAGGCATGAAGGATACAAAGCACTAAAGGCAAAAACCTATGTGCTGGATGTTGGAGTTGTTCCAAATTCACTCCAGGATATAGGCCGGGCTTCTGACGGAGCGGAGCGGAGGCCCGTCGCCGGTACGGTATATACACCCTTGCTAGGGTTTCGTGGAGACTTGATTCTCTTGTAAGCCGCCATAGGCGTGTAATCCAAAACTCTTGAGATAGTGAGATTGTTGCTGGCTGGTGCCCGTGGTTTTTTCCCCTTCACATCGGAGGGGTTTTCCACGTTAAATCGTGTGTCTCCTCTATGGCTTGATTCTTTACTTCATATTCCTATACATCGTTCATAACAAGTGGTATCAGAGCTTTGGTTGCTGTTAGGGTTCATGACGACGTCGATGAAGTTCGATCTTCCGTTGCTGAACTACGACACGCGGTTCTCGCTATGGCAAGTCAAGATGCGGGGAATTCTGGCGCAGACTCATGACTATGATGAGGCGCTGGATAGTTTCGGAAAGAGGAAGGCCGAGTGGACTCAAGAAGAGATCCGCAAGGATCAGAAGGCGCTCGCCCTAATTCAGTTGCATCTTCATAATGATATTTTGCAGGAGTGTCTGAAAGAGAAAACTGCTGCAGAACTATGGCTGAAACTGGAATCGATCTGTATGTCCAAGGATCTAACCAGTAAGATGCAGATGAAGATGAAGCTGTTCACCCTGAAGATGAAGGAGGAGGATTCAGTGATGAGCCACATCGCTGAATTCAAGAAGATCGTCGCTGACCTAGTGTCGATGGAGGTGAAGTATGATGATGAGGACTTAGGTCTTTTACTGCTATGTTCTTTGCCAAATTCGTATGCAAATTTTCGTGACACCATACTTTTGAGCCGTGATGAACTAACCCTAAAGGAAGTTTATGAGGCTTTCCAGTCTAGGGAGAAGATGAGAGGCATGGTGCAGAATGACGGGACGCCGTCCTCCAAGGGCGATGCTTTGCATGTGAGAGGCAGAACTGAAAACAGATCCTCCAATGATGGCAATGATGGAAGAAAGAACTATGAAAGGAGAGGCCGTTCAAAGTCCAAGCCGCATGGTAATAAAAAGTTCTATGTTTATTGCAAGCTGACAAATCATAATGTTGAGAATTGCAGAAAAGTACAGAATAAGGAGAAGAGGAAAAACAAGTAATTTGGTAAGGTCTCATTCTTCTTCTTGCTGCGTCGATGATGATTTTGGAGATTGTCCGGTAGTATTCTTTGGTTGTGTTGTCTGGTCATGATGAATGGATTCTCGATTCCGCATGTTCATTTCATATTTGCACTAATGAAATTGGTTTAGCTCGTATAAGCCTGTGCAGAAAGGGGATGTTGTGCGGATGGGAGATGATAACCCGTGTGACATTGTGGGGATTGGATCAGTTCAGATCAAGACTGATGATGGCATGACACGCACGCTGAAAAACGTCAGGTATATACCAGGGATGTCCAGAAATCTTATCTCATTGAGCACGCTTGATGCAGAAGGTTACAAATATTCCGGTTCAGATGGCGTTCTAAAGGTATCAAAATGTTCTCTTGTTTGCTTGAAAGGTGATCTTAATTCTGCAAAGTTATATGTCCTTAGAGGGTGTACTTTACGGTTACGATTCATTTGTTGTCTTTGTTACTAATGATGAACCTAGTAAAACTAACCTTTGGCATATGCGTTTGGGACATATGAGTCACCATGGTATGGCAGAATTGATGAAGAGAAACCTCTTTGGATGGTCGCTTCGAGTAAAATAAAGTTTTGTGAGCATTGTATTTTCGGGAAGCATAAAAGGGTACATTTCAACACTTCTGTTCACACCACTAAAGGTACTCTTGATTATGTTCATGCTGATTTATGGGGCCCTTCCCGTAAGTCCTCACTTGGTGGTGCTCGTTACATGCTTACAATTATTGATGATTACTCTAGAAGGGTTTGGCCTTATTTTCTGAAACAGAAAGATGATACTTTTGCTGCTTTTAAGGACTGGAATGTAATGATAGAAAAGCAAACTGAAAGGAAGGTAAAATTGCTTCGTACTGATAATGGTGGAGAATTTTGTTCGCGTGAATTTAATGATTATTGCAGATCGGAAGGCATTGTTAGGCATCACACCATACCCCATACTCCACAACAGAATGGTGTGGCCGAACGCATGAACAGAACCATCATGTCCAAGGCCCGTTGCATGCTGTCTAATGCCAGGATGAGCAAGCATTTTTTTTGAAGTCGCTAATATCGCTCTGTTACTTGATAAACAGGTCGCCTTCTATTCCACTAAATAAAAGAACTCCCATTGAGGTATGGTCTGGTACGCCTGCTGATTATTCACAGTTGCAAGTTTTTGGATACACTGCTTATGCTCATGTTGATAATGGAAAATTAGAGCCTAGAGCTGTTAAGTGTCTTTTCATTGGTTATAGTTCGGGAGTCAAAGGCTATAAATTGTGGAATCCTGAAACAGGAAAGACTTTTATGAGCAGGAGTGTTGTTTTCAATGAATCTGTGATGTTTACTAACAGTTTGCCCTCCAGATCATGTTCTAGAAAAAAGAGCTTGCGTATGCGCATGCATGCAGTGGAGCATGTTGATGATGATGACTGGTGTGCGGTGGAGCTTTGTTGATGAGCATGGTGACCATGATAATGATGTTGCTGAGGATGATGCTCATGATGATGTTCAGCAAACTCCTCCTATTTTGCAGTTAGAGGAGGATTTACCTATTGCTCAACGCAAGTCAAAAAGGACAATTGCACCTCCTAAGCGTCTTATTGAAGAGTGTAATTTGTCTTACTATGCTTTGAGTTGTCTTTGAACAGTGGAGAATGTTCATGAGCCAAAGAACCTATAAAGAAGCTATTCGTTGTGGTGATATCGAGAATTGGATTTTGCTATGCATGAGGAGAGATGATCTCTTGAGAAGAAACGATTACATGGGAGATTGTACCTTTGCCTAAGAATAAGAAGACCATCATTTTGCAAATGGATCTTTAAGAGAAAGGAGGGTTTATCTCCAAGCGAGCCTCCAAAGTATAAGGCAAGGTTAGTTGCTAAAGGCTACGATCAAATTCGGTGTGTTGACTACAATGATGTGTTCTCTCTAGTGGTAAAACATAGTTCAATTCGTACTTTCCTTAGTATTGTTGCTTCACATGATCTTGAGCTTGGCGATTAGATGTGAAAGGCTGCGTTTTTTGCATGGAGAGCTTGAGGAGGACATATACATGGACCAACGGAAGGGTTCATAGTGCACGGCAAGGAAAAAAATGTGTGTAAGTTGAAGAGATCCTTGTATGGTTTGAAACAGTCCCCTCGTCAGTGGAACAAGAGGTTTGATTCATTTATGTTATCACACAGTTTTAAAAGATCTAAGTATGATAGCTGTGTTTACATCAAGCATGTTAATGGATCACCTATATATTTGCTGTTATATGTTGATGATATGCTAATTGCTACCAAGAGTAAGATTGAAATCACTAAGTTAAAGAAGCTATTGAGTAGTGGTTTTGATATGAAAGATCTTGGTAGTGCTAAGAAAATTCTTGGTATGGAAATTAGTAGAGACAGAAAATCTGGTTTGCTATTTCTTAGTCAACAAAATTATATCAAGAAAGTTCTTCACGTTTCAACATGCAAAATGCTAAGGTCATTAGTACCCCTATTGCACCTCACTTTAAGTTGTCACCGCCAAAGTGTCCTAATACAGATGCAGAGATTGAATACATGTCAAGGGTTCCTTATTCTAGTCTTTGTTGGGTCTTTGATGTATGCCATGGTTTGCTCTCGTCAGATTTGTCATATGCTATGAGTCTTGTTAGTAGATATATGTCTAATCTCGGCAAAAAGAACATTGGAGGCGTTCGGTGGATTTTCAGGTACCTCGAGGCACAGTGATTCTGTTTAAAGTTTGGAAGAACTGATAAGGGTCTTATTGGCTATGTGGATTCTGATTATCTTTCTTGATCCGGACAAAGCGAAGATCACTTACAGGTTATGTGTTTCTTGTTGGCGATTGTCTTTGTGAGTTGGAGGGCTACTTTACGATCGGTTGTTGCTTTGTCTACTATCAAGGCAGAATATATGGCTATTTGTGAAGCGTGCAAAAGAATTAATTTGGTTTGAAAGGTTTGTACTGTTGAGCTTTGTGGAGTTGAATCTTGCATAAGTTTGCACTGTGACAGTCAAAGTGCAATTTACCTCACTAAAGATCAGATGTTCCATGAGAGAACTAAGCACATAGATATCATGTGCGTGATGTGATTGAAGAAGGTAAGCTGAAGGTATGCAAGATTAGTACTCATGATAATCGTGCTGATATGATGACAAAGCCTGTTCTTGTTACTAAGTTTGAGCTGTGCTCAAGCTTAGTTGGTTTAATTGGATAGTCCAAGAGACTATTGTTGGCACCAGTGGTTTTCTATCTTTGTTATGTTCAGGATGAAGGGTTGACTTATGATACAAGATGAATTTGTCTCAAGGTGGAGTTTGTTGGAGTTGTTCCAAATTCACTTCAGGATATAGGCCGGGCTTCTGACGGAGCGGAGCGAAGGCCCGTCGCCGGTACGGTATATACACCCTTGCTAGGGTTTCGTAGAGACTTGATTCTCTTGTAAGCCGCCATAGGCGTATAACCCAAAACTCTTGAGATAGTGAGATTGTTGCTGGCTGGTGCCCGTGGTTTTTTCCCCTTCACATCGGAGGGGTTTTCCACGTTAAATCGTGTGTCTCCTCTATGGCTTGATTCTTTACTTCATATTCCTATACGTCGTTCATAACACTGGAGGCTCCCTGTGCGCTGAGACAACAAGTGTTAGTTCTTCAAATGCTTTCAGAAATTCAGAAACTGCTGCTGCCTTTGCCCATTCTTCCTCAGTAGGTGGTTCTTCAAAATATTTTAGGAGCATAAGAATTAAGGACAGCTTTGTATTTCAATGCTTCCCTAAGCATTTTGAAGGTTGAATTCCATCTGGTTGGGATGTCAAGATATATGCCAGATTTTGAGGCCAAACCCATCCCTTTTGCAAGTGAATTGAACATTTGAAGTCTTGAGACTGATGAATCAATATGCTTCAGCAGCTCACGGATCTTTTTGATTGCTGTGTGGATCACTGTCATGCCATCCTGAACCAAGATGTTAAGAATGTGAGCCGAACATCTAACATGCAGATGCTCACCTTCAAACAATAACTCATGCTTATGATTTCTGACCAGCTCTTCACATGCCGAAGTAAACAATTTATACCTTAAGCCCCATTCTGTCAAGCACCTCATTGTTTCTTCTTCAATTGCAAAGCCTGAGTGAGGATACTCTAGTACTTTAAACCAAATGATCTTTTTCTTGATCTTGAATTCTGCATCAACGTACTGGGCTGTTATGGCCATGTATCCTAAGTTCTGTGATGCCGTCCAAATATCTGATGTCAGGCAAACACGAGAGTCCAAACTCTGAAGTTCAGTATGAAGCTCTTTCTTCAGGTCCTCAAATTTTTTGAAGCAATCACTGCGGATTGTATGTCGACCCTTGACTATGAGAGTTGGCTGCATTGTATCAATCCAAGGCTGCAGGTAATGGTCTTCAAACTGCAGAAATGGGACCTCAGCATGAATGATATACTTGATCATCGCTTTACGACAGAGTTGGGCATCAAAGACAAAATTTGTATCTACTGGTTGCTTGCTCATGCTTGCTTGAAATCTCTTTCTGATAGCACTGTCAATTGCTGGACAAGCATTGGCAATATGGCCTCTAAGACTACTGGTGCCAGACTTGGTAACCAATTTCAGTTGGCAATACTTGCAAACAGCTTTGAGTTCACCATCCACATCAACCAAATCTTTCTGGAAGTGCTCCCAAACGTTGGACCATGTACGACGTGGTGTCAAAGATGTATGGCCCTCTTCACTCTCATGAGTTCCAGACCCCTCTGTTGTATTGGATGCCATCTTTTCACCTGAAGAAACAGAGGAAACTGAAACTGAGCTTTGGAAGGTACATAGTCAGTGCAGACTCTCATGAGTTCCAAACTGAAATTACAAACACAGGAGGACAAACTCTACAAGAGTACAAAAAATAAAATTATTAAAATCTTAAAACAACCTAACACAACTCAGCTTTGGAAGGTACATAGTCAATGCAGTTTCAGCTTAAATATGGTAGGGATAGATGTCCACTATTCACTCAGTTGTCAGAAAAAGTCATTCTAATAACAATGTATAACAGAGAGCAAGCACTTATGGTAGTTTTCACAGGATTTAGCTCCTGACAGATAGGCCCTAAGCCCCAACTTATGGGTACACTCGATAATCTCTCACAACTAAAAAGACTAAAGTGTGGACACCGTTTTGGTGCGACAATCGACTTCGGGTCGTCGGTCTGCCCGCCTGCGATCCCGGTCGCTCTCGCTCGCACACAGTGCCCTGCGGCGCAAATCGCGCTCCCTCACTCCCCCGACTGGCCCGTCAATCACGCGCCATGGAACAATGCCGGACCCCCCGGCTCCGTCACGCGCACCCCCATCCTGTCCTGCCCGGCTCAATGTCGCCAACGCAGATGGGACTTGGCTCTCCCAGCCCCGCCACCATCCTGGCGCCCTCTACTTTCTCTCCGCCGCCGACGCCGACGCCCCGCCCCTGCCACACCCTGACCGATTTATCTCACGCTATAACTTTTGAAGCATCCTAAAATTATTGCCTTTTCATGTCATTTGCAGCTTGCTTGTGCATTGCCAAATATACATTTAACATCACTATCCTGTGGTCTGATCAGTTTGGTTTGGCAGTGCTTATGAGTTTTACTTTGTGATTTCAGGTGTATGTGAGGGTTGATGACAATTCAGTATGGAAAACATCCTCCTGGTACGGATGTAAGTTCAGTTTGCTTCCTGTCCTATTCATGTGGAAATTAGATTTGGCAATTGGCAGTGCTTATGAGTTTTTTCTCTCTGTTTTAAGACAAGCAATTTGGTTTCTGATATACTGCAGCATGTATTTCAGAATAAATGATCATGAAAATGTCAGCAAAAGTATTTAATTTCTGTAATATATGTTCACAACCAAATATAATTTATTACCTCACTGTATTAGGACCAGTTAATATGTGTGATTAGTATTTTTTTCTGCTAACATTGAAGATACTTCCTTAATGTTCTAGATGAATATTGCCGAAAAAGCATAAACTTAAATTAAACTGAAATACGAGGAAGCTGTAATTGGCTTGGGCTCCCAATAAAGCCTTTGATTTTGTGCTGCAGAAAAAAACTTGCAATTAAAGAATAGTTTGCACAGAATTGCTGCAAAATTAAGGAAGTGTCGGATACCATAAAAAGGGGTACCCTAAGCAAAAGGCCTCGGACGAGGTACCGATTCTCCGACTCGCCCGAGGCCCCACACCGCAAGGCCTCGGACGAGGTACCGACTCTCCGACTCGCCCGAGGCCCCGCATCGCAAGGCCTCGGACTAGCACCTAGTTACTGACTTGCTCGAGGCTGGCTCGGCATCAACCCCATCACCGTTGCCTTGATCGGCTTCTCTGACAAGACGTCACATCCAACTAACACATTCAACCACTCCTACGACGTCAGCCGCACGTCGGTGCAGTACAGCGGAGTGGCCGACGAGACAGGTGTCATATCGACCCCATGCTATTCGAGACAGGACGGGGCGGGGGTTACCAGCCGCTGTGCTCGGCACTGTGCCCACGACGGACGCCCGTGCCACGCTGTGCTGCCTAACCCCTGCTCAGGGAAAGTCACGTCCGGGTCCCTGTAGCCTCGGAAACGACGTGCAAGGCCAACTGCTCCCTCCGAGCCTCGGCTACCCGCTTCCGGGCTCCTATAGCCTCGGTACTCGCGCCCGCCGAGCCCCCCACGACGGTCCAGCCTCTGCATCGACTGGGCCTCGGCACTCTATGTTGTCAGCGCTTTGGGACCGGCGCGTCGCCCGCAGTACGTGCCATGCCCTGCGTCGGGCTGTAGGAGCTCCCACATCATGCACAGGGCCTAGCTCCTGTAGCCTCGGAATCAGCGTACCCGCGCCATCGCATCAACCCGGCCTCGGCACTCCACGCCGGACAAACATATGGTGACCAGCATGCCTCCAACAGGTGCGCCTGCCACCACAGGAGCTCCCACGTCGCACAGGATCGGGCGTGACCGGCGCGTCGCTCCAGTGCATGGAAGACAAGACCACTCCACCGACCACGCCGCCAAAGTGACAAGCTGCAGGGCTCGGACATGCCGCCCCTGCCGAAGAACGTCACGTAGCAGATACATGTACCGCCCCTGTGCCTCCCTTCGACTATAAAAGGGAGTGACCAGGGCCGCTTCTAGGGAGAAGGAGGAGACCGGTGCAAGCCACGCACAACACTCTGTAACACGCACACTCCTTCACTACAAGAGATCAACATCTCAAGCAACCCACACTGCAATTCACAGAGACTTGGGGCTAGCTCCCTCTCTCGCCCAGCTTGTAAGCCCCAACTACAAGCACCTCGGTGCAAGGAATACAAGATCGCTCCCTCAGACTAGACGTAGGGCACCTATTGCCTGAACCAGTATAAACCTTGTGTCTCTTTGCATCACCATCCGGGATTAGGAACACGCAGTACACTTTCACTAGTCGGTTGAGGACCCCCCGGTCCAAAACACCGACAGTTGGCGTGCCAGGTAGGTGCTACTACTGTGTGTCAGCTTAGTCATCCCAACAGATTCCGGATGACAGACCCCGTGTGACCACTGCGTCTCGGCACGATGATCTGGTTCGGGAGCCTAGAGTTCATATCTCTAGGATATGAGTACGACATGGTACTCCTCCCACCCAGAGCCCCATCAACCGATGGCGACATCACGCACCAGCAGCCCAGGCGCGGGCGGCGCCCGGGCCGCCGCTCTTGTCACGCTCGCCAGGCGCGATGCAGGCGGGACCACCCCAACACCGCGCAAGTTCAGGACGATGATCCGCGCTCCGCCAGTATCCCATACCCGGCTAATGGCACAGAGTTCCTGGCTAGGGACCTATCTAGCTTAAGCCTCGGCAAGGGAAAGAAGCCGGCGGCGCGCAGCGACGCCCTGCCATCAAGCTCTGCCCCGCCACCTCCTGAGGAGCCAACTCCGGCGGAGCGGAGCCCAGCGACGACACCATCCCCATACCTCTTCAGGTTAAGCAATGCCGCCGTGGCCTACGCTTTCGCTCACGCAGAGCCCCCAGGACGCCACCAATGTTCTGCCCTCGACCTCATTGTCACAACCCCGACCCACACCCACGCTGACTCCTCGGAGGGGGACGAGGCATGGGCCAGAGCGGACTTCTCCGGGCTTTGCGACCCTGAAGCCATGCGCCGCTTCATGGCCGCGAGCGCCTACTGCTTCGGCTACTCCGACTCCGATGACGAAGACACTTACGATCCCACTCGTGAGTGCTTCAACATCGAGCTCAGGGTGCCAAGCGCGAGCGATGAGGACGAAGGGGTAGGCAATCGCACCCCGCCCCACGTGGGGGCAGGCGATGCCACACCTCCACGTGTCGAGCCCTCGGCGGCAAGGAACAAGAACCCCGCCCCCGAGGAACTTCGACGCCTAGACCTGGAGCAGCTCCGTGAGCTTCAGGCCAAGGTCGAACAAGACCGAGTCCTTCTGCAGCAGCTCCGAGACACTCTCGAGCGAGAGCAGCGGGGTCGTGGTGAGGGCGGAGCAGCCCGATGGAGGGCTCACGACGTCAACCACCGCATCAACAACAACGAAGGGGGCGAGCAACCCCCTATCTTCAATCGTGCTAGCCAGAACGTCGCGGCAGCAGCGATGCTACTCCGAACAATGCCCGAGCCCTCTACCTCGGAGGGGCGACGGGTCCACGGCGAGCTCTGAGACCTCCTCGAGACCGCCGCGGTGCAGCAGGCCAAAAGTTCCGCCTCTCGACGGCGTGGGGGCGCCTCGAAACTACCTGCGGCACCGCCTCAGCAGGATAGAGAGGCATCGGTTCGTCCCGAGCCCGCTCGGGCACCGAAAGTCAACAAGGCCCCCTCGGTGCACGACTGCCTCAGCGACCAATGCGAGGCGCAAGGCGACCACGATGTGGTCAGCGGGCGACGGCCCCACGACAATGATGGGACTATGCCATTCGGTCTCAGAAACGCAGGGGCCACATACTAGCGGTGTATGACCCAGGTCTTTGGTGAGCACATCGGGCGAACCGTCGAGGCCTACGTGGACGACATCGTGGTCAAGTCCAGGAAGACCAACGCTTGGAACATAGAACAGCTACATCGCTTCTACCCTTAAATTCCCAAGCATTGTATACATTGTTTCTCGAAATACGATAAAGAAGCGTTCTTTAGTTGTTATAATTTTTCGAGAAACCCCCCGAGCCCATCGATGGGGGATCGGCGTTACGATAACGCTATAAGGGAGACTCGGCTCTACCTCTGCAGAGGTGCCCACCGCGGGGCTCGAACAAGACTCGGCTCTGCCTCTACAGAACCGAGCCTCCCTCGGGGGCTAGAAGGGGGGAACCCCCCCCCCTAAGTCCCAGACACCATTTTTTAATAGTTTTTCAAAAAAAATTATACGCCAAACTCTCTCACGTACTCGGACAAAACGATCGTAAAAAACCTAAGGACCAAAAGTTTGTCTCGGGGACAAAAGGCCGGCTGAGCCGTGAGAACGGCCTATGCCTCTGGGCTACGGCAACTCCCTCACCACCTTTCGCCCAAAGGGCAGCTTTGGCTCCGAAGAAGTTTTTTGCATTTGTCCAAGAACGAGACAGAGGGCAGAGGCTCAGAAATATAATAGAAAACGATTATATACACAAGTACTGTAAAGGCCTCGACGGCCACAAGCGTTATGGTACAATGATGTAAGTCCTAATCTATTTACATGGTCCCTTTGGCCCAGATCAAAACTCAGGGTCGCCAGCGTCGGCGGTCGGCGTAGAAGGAACCACCTCCCCTT